AGAGAGCTTGGCTCACTGCGGGACAGCGAGACGATGGACAGGCCTGGTGTGACACCTGCCTTAGGACCTGGTCGGGTGAGGCCGCGCTCTGGCCCCTTCTGGACGATGACGCCCTCCCCGAAGACCTTCGCGCCCTAGCGGCCGAGCGTAGAAGACGCCACGTAAGCATCCAGGTCCCTATGCGGCAAGGGCTCTACGGAGTCTGTCCACTCTGCGGCCTTGGAGAGGCCACAACCGAGCACGCGTGGTGCTGGTGCCCTGCGGCCGCCCCGGCCTGGGAAAGAACCGGGGCCCCGGGTCATCCCAGGGACCGGGCCACGGCGATGTGCACTCGGGGTCAGCATCAGAGGTTAGTCTGTCGGCTTTTGCACCAGATCTCCTTCAGGTATTGCGTGAATTTGGACTGCACCCCCCTGGGTGCGGAGGAGGCCGCCGGACTCATTGCCCAGGGCATCGTTGTCCCCGACACCGACGTTCAGAGCGACGACGAAGCTGATGATGACTGGCATGAAGGGCAGCCTCCCGTCGCCCCGGCTGACGAAACCGCAGTCTGGGCCCCTATGCTCGACGTTTGCCAGCTGCGCAACCCCCAAGGGCCACACTTACGGCGCATCTGCGGCGCTGCCAGACCTCACCTGGGCAGGCAAGCACCACGCGCCGGAGGGGAAATTCGGCGCCTACCAGTCACCACGAGAGCCACACCTAGTGGCGATAGGCTCGCAGTCCTCCAAGCCGGTGACCCCAGAGCGGGTTGGATGCCCCCTGGGCAGGGCTGGTTTCCACGCCCCAGGACGGACAGGAATCCCAGCGCCCTTTGGACCAGAACTTATTGTAGGCTCTGTGACCAACACACCCTGGTGCTCAGAGCTGGCAGGGATATGGACAGCGGCGAGGAAATCACGGTCAGAGACTCCCCGCTCCCCGCCGCCGACTCTGCCCAATGGCCTTACGAACTCGCGTTCGACGGAGGAGCTCGTCGGATCGGAGAAGGAGACAAGGTCTCTGGGGCGGCGGCTGTTCTCTGGCGACATGACCCACGCCGTGGCTACCCGCGCGTCGTGGCGGTCGATGTGGTGGCCCTCCCAGGCTGTGACAATGCGCAGACTGCCGACGCCTCGGGGTGCAGAGCCGGTCTCGCCCTGCTCCCACACGTTGAAGGCGCGCTCCGGGGCGCCAGGGTGGTCGGGGACAACCTTGCCGCTATACGATACGGGGCCGGCACAGGCCGCTATCGGCGGCTCCACCTCGCACAACAGATGGACTTTGCCCTTAGGCAGTGCGACGACGGCTCCATAAAGCGGCTGACCGCCTAGCCACGTTAGGGGTCTTTTGGGCCAGCGCCCTCAACCGCGCTGGTGATCATACGGTCACCACCTGGGTCGTGTGGGAAAACACCGATCGCCCCACTCCCCCTCTCTTCCCCGCTGCGGGGATTGACCTCTGCGACTTGGACCAGGTCGCCCAGGCTGCGGACGCTCTCGAAAATCTCCCTCGTCCTCATCTCCCCTGATCGCTCCCGATCCGGCGCGCTAAGGTCAACCGAAGAAGAGGCATCACAGCCAGGCCCTTCGGATCGGCAGCTGGACGAGTCGCTGGCGGTCCAAGCGGCCACCGAGGTACGCAGTCTTTACTCTCTGCCCCTGGATTCACCACACTCGCGAGTCCACCCCAAGGCGGCGCTGGGGGATCTGCCCGATGCTGTCCTGCCCCCCTCCCAGTGGCCTTACACCCTCCGGGATCGTGGGCAGACACTTCGGAGAATCGCGTGGGTAGAGAGCCAAGCGTCGGTCGAGACGGTGGACAACGGGAAAGAGGCCACGCGCGAAGACCTGGCCAGGAAAGGCAACTGTGCTCTCGATGTCCGTGTCACCAAGATCGACGGCGACACGCCCCTGGACGACCTGGACACCTTCCAGTTGCGAAACGCGATGGACCTCCCAGAGGGTAGGGAGCTCTACCTGTTGGAGTGGCCCTCCAAGTACAGGGTTGGATCCAGAACCCAGGAGGGAGACAAGGAAGGCAAGGATCGGTACATCTCTGTCACCGGCCCCACAGTGGACAAGATTGCGAACGTCACGATCTGGAGGCCACCCTCCCCGGGCGGCGCCATCCATCCAAGGGACGCAAGAGTGCTCGACATCAACCCGGCCACCAGGTACCCCTCGGACAGGTGCATCGTGCAGTGCAACAGCGAGAAGTGGGGGCCATTCCATGGAGATGAAACCAAGGCGAGACGGCCCCCAAGCGACGACGTTCCCTGGTACAGAGTGGACGAGGCCCCCTCCGACATCCAGTACTGGCGCCAGTGTTGGGCTCTTGACCAGATTTACTACCTCCGGCAGAATGCGGCGGATCTGTTCGCTCGCGCACTGTCCCCCCTGACGTTTCTCTCGGCTTTCTTGCGCGCTCCCCGGGCCGACCAACGCGCGGCCAACGACCTCCATCGCACCAGCGCAGTCGGCTCGAATCTGCGGGCTAGAGCCGCCGCTACACTGGAGATGGACGCCCCCGATGCTGACCTCACCCAGGCTGTCCGGCATGGCCTTCTACAGCAGGCACCGCCGCTTCCCTTGGGTTTGACGGAGTTCTCGGACGACGAACTCTCAGACTCGACGGGGTCAGTTTTCCAGAGGGTGCGCGCCACACCTAGCCAGGCGACCTTCAACGAAAGGGTGGACAAGCACAAACCAAACAACGACGCGATCAGAGCCCTTCAGGCCACGCTACGTCACCATGCCGTACTGGTGCACGGACCCCCTGGGACAGGCAAGACCACCTTCTCCGTCGCCTGCCTGGACATGTGGGGATGCTGCCTACGTTCGGGCCAAGCAGTTGCGCTGGCAGCCGCTTCGAACACTGCGGTCGACCAGCCCGCCCTGGCAATGTCCGAAGCACATCAACGGCGCCGTCTCAATCCCGACACGGGGTTCCCTGGGAGATTCGCGCGCCTGGCCAGAAAGGAACGCGTCAACGATGAGCTTGTTGACCTGACCCCAGAGGGCCACTACAAGAACGCCTACGGTGACTTCCCGTTTCAGGACGGGGACAAGAGCCCTGACTTCAAGCCCTTCAAGGCCAACCTGCTCCGAAATGCCAGGGTGATTATGTCCACACACGAGGCAGCCCAAGCCCTCGGACAGAAGGACAGCCCGCGCATTGTCCTCCTGGTGATCGACGAGGCCGGACAGGCCACGGAGCTGCGTGCGCTTATGTCTATGGTGAACGTGATCAACAGTGGCGGAGTTCTGGTACTGGTGGGCGACCCGAGCCAGTTGCCCCCTACGGTTCTCTCAAAGCTTGCCAACGACCTGGGTCTCTGTGTCAGCATATTTGACAGGATGTTTCACGCCCTCCGCGGCCAGGACACGGCGGTGGTCCACCTGTCGATTTGCTACCGCATGCATCCGCAGCTGCTCGCCTTTCCGAACGCAGCCTACTATGGCATGGGTATGACGAGCGGCATCATGGACCCGCTCAGAGACAGGCCCATAGTTGACGGCATCCCATGGAGAGACATCTCACCCTGGGAACCTGGGCGCCTGGCGGAACTCGCCAAGCTCACCAGTTCCAACGAGGCCGACCTCAGCGCGACCCTCAGGCAGCTGGAACCTCCGCAAGACGGCGACAAGCACCGCTTCCTGCTAGTCGGCACACCCTCGTCGAAGGTTTCGTCCGGCCTCCAGCCAGGCTACGCCAACCTCCCCGGGGCAGCGCAGGCTGTGGACATCGTGCGGGCACTCCTCCCTGAGCTTGAAAGAGGCACCACCGTCCGAATCGTCGTTGGCTACCAGCTCCAGACGGCCATCCTCAAGGATGGCTGGCCACAAGGTCCGCGCCACCTCAGCGGTGCCCTTCGGAACTCGAAGAGTGGCAAGAAAGGGAAGTCCGGCAGAGGAAAAGGCATTGGCGGCCGTGGCGGGCAAGACATCCCCGCCCTTGGAGCAGACTCCCAAGAGCAAGAGGTCGACACTCACCGCTGGGAAACCGTCTTTCGGGAGGATCGCAACGACTACACAGCCATCGGCACTGCCTTCCCTGGTCTCAGGCAGATTGCAGGCAAGTGCCTGAAAAATGGGGCCCTCGAGTTCACTACCATCGACTCCAGCCAGGGTGGGGAGGCAGACATCGTGATTGTGCTGACCACCAGGAGCAATGGGATGCACAAGTGGGGCTTTGTCGATGACGCCAAGCGGTTGAATGTGGCGATCACGAGGGCCAAGCGGAACATCATGATGTTGGGAGACGGGCGTATGTTCGCCAACGCCACGTGGTCCCAGCTACGTGTGCTTTCCGAATATGGGCGCTTGGCCCGCCTTTGGGTCCGGTTCGGTGGCGCCGGACCTGCTGGCCACAGGCGATCCCTGGTCATAGACGAGAGTTTTGACCCACTGCCCGACCTCGCCACCTGGGCACCCTCCCCCGTTGCCTGGAGTTGTGACGCGAAGGGAGAGGACGCGCGCAGTGAGCTCGATGCGGCCAAGAGAAAAGCCCGTGACGCTCAGGCGAACAGCTTCGCCGATCGCTACAACACCCCACTGGCTGATGACTTCGACTGGGACTCACTGGGCAAGTTCATCTCTGTCGGCTTGAACGAGATCCTCTCGACGCCTGCCTTCCATGTGCTCATCCTCCTGGTGGCGGGGCTCCACCCGCATGAGTTCTCGCTGTCTGAGACACCGCGGCAGCCTGGCAGACTCGACCGGAAGGCATGGTCGCACCTGGGCTTCCTGTTCGACATGTCCCTGGGTCTAGACGCGACCAATCTGGTCTACAACATGCTCTGGGCAGCCATAGTGTGGTCACTCGGCCTTGGCACTCCCTGGGAGGACGCAGACCACGCAGCGCGCAACGATTCCCTCCCCCCGGTGCCGCGCGTCAAGGGCAGACGTGCGACGCTCTGCGGTCGGCGCCAGTGCTTTCCCAAGGGACTGTTCCGGCAGGTTCCCCAGGCGTGGAGTGCAAGAACCAGGGATTGCTGCAGACACAGGAAGCACCCTGGGATGGATGGCCTGCAGGAGATCGTGCGTAACGCCTCCGTCGATCCAACCTGGGTCAAACTCCGGGAGGAGATCAAGGACTCAGATGGCATCCCCATGGAGTCTTGCAAGACCCGCTCGCTCTTGGTGGTCATGATGTTAATGCTCCGCGAGCCGCGCGTGCTCTTGTGGCCGTTCCCTCACGCGAACAGGCTGGGGACGTGATTGAAGCCATCCTGGGTTTCTGTGTCCCGTGGCAGGAAGCGCATCGAGGGTTCCGGCACCCTCCGCACATCTCCGACGACAGGCTGATTGCTGAGCAGAAGCATGGCAGGTTCATGTGCGACAGATGCGGCAAGGATCATCTACGCTCCACAGACGGTACATGGATCTCGGACGATGCACGCCTGATGGTAGCGCAGAACCGGCCCCAGGCCTACCTCGACGGTACAAATATGGGATGGCACTGCGAGATCTGCTGTATCCGACACCTGGAGGAAGAGGGCATCCCAGCACCAACTGGTGCAACAGTCGCGGATAAGGTCAAGGAGTACGAACATTGGAGGTGGCGCAAGTGACAGGAAGGCGGTTGCCCCCCCCTCCCTGGGTCATCTCCCACTTGGCTTCGGATGCAGCCCCCAATCGGACACGAGGACACTGGCGGATCTCATCATGACGCCGACGGACATGCACATCCCCACGCGCGCCAACACCACTATCCCCATCCTCCGGGTCAGAGATGAGCGGTTCGGCCTCAAAGCCGCGGAGAACAAGGTCTACTCAGCTCGGTGCGACACATTCCCCCCAGGGGCACCGCTCCTAGTCTGGAAGATTGGAGCACCTCCCCTGGCCTGCTTCATATGGAAGCCAAAGGAAGGAGTGGGTGTGCCCGAGCAAGCCGGGCTGCCTCCCATCGAGCGGCGAGCCATAGCCTGGTGGGGGCGCGACTGGAACGCCACGCGGTGCTGCCGGCGGTGCCTGGTCACCATCTGGAACATCGGGCCCGCGATCCTGGACCACATCTTTGGGAGAGACTACTGGGCACTTTATCCAGCTGAGGCCCCTGTCCTGCCAACGCTCAATAGCCAGATTGTGGCGGATGCGCCAGTGGATATTCCCAGCACCCTTCCCTGGATGGGCGCTGACGCCAAGGCCCCAGATCGCTTCACCAAGACAGGAGCGGCAAACCTCCCTGGGTCCAGCGCCTCGGGAACAGCTGCTCCCGTGGCCGAGCAGGCCCCCAGGACTCTCTCGCAGCTCATGGAGCTCCTGCCGGAGCTGCCAGTCCCTCAGCGGCCGCTCCTGGACAGCAGGGACGTCACCAACCCCACGCTCAGGCCAGACGACCCCAGGAGTGGGTCTGGCAACGGAGACGTGGTCGTTCAGCAGCTCCTCGTGACCTACCTCCGGGACTTCCACCCTGGATTGGACTACATGTGGCGGCAGTTCTGTCACGGCCATTGCGATGATAACATCCCAGAGCCTAAAAACGAAGAAGCCTCTTGGCCAGGCAGTCGGTTGACGAGGTTTCTCAGGGCGGCGTACGGCGACAACATCCCGAAGGATTGCTCCCCGCTCAACCAGCCCTGGGCAGGCAAGCGGCTGGCCGCCGCACGAGTCGTCTCACACCTCACCAACGGCGAGAAACACAAAGAGGCCTGGGAGCGGCACGTCTCGACCCTCGCCTCGGAGAGTGGCCTCAACCCAGTCAGACACGAGATGGGCACGCTGACGAGCTTCCTGCTCAGCCTCAGTGCCGATGCCCTGGCCCCGACAACCATCACCTCCCTGGCGGAGTCGCACGTGCAGGCCATGAGCGAGGACATGCCCGGCAACGCGACAGGGCACCCTCCGGCACAGTGGCTGGGCCCCAAGCTCGAAGCTCCAGCAAGACCCGAGGGAGGCACCTCCCCAGCGGTTGGTGCAGACAACTCCCTGGGTACGAAGGACGCCGAAATGGGTGCTGGAGACGCGAAGGCGCCTGGCCTAGCTGCCAAAGAGGAGGACGACGAAGACGAGGTTCCTGCTACTGAGCGAGCGGATTCGGCCGACTTTGGAAGCCCCCACGAGCCTCCTTTCCCTGGTGACTGCGCGGACCCGGCCGCTGACCAACCTGAAGGTGATGGCCCTGGCGACAGGCCGCCACAGCAAAGCCCAACGGCAGAGCGCATGGAACCCAGCTCCGACGACGACCCCTTGGCAGCCTGGGGTCGCACAGCCACCACCGAGCAGAACGCCGGCGGTTCCAGCGGGCCAGGTCAAGATGAAGCCGCGCGAGAGAGAGGCACAGCGCAGGACCGCCGCCCCCCACTGCGCAACCCACAGACACCAGACCGCAGGCTTGCCTACTCTGGCGCAGCGGGACGACACGCTCTCAACCAGCTGACCGACGCCCACGGAGGCCCCATGTACAAGGCCTGGTTGGGCTCCGTGGACTTGGAGCGCCGCGGAGATACGCCCGCCAAGCGCATCACCAGACACCAAGTGGACTTGGGTGGAGTATTCTGCGCCCTTTGGTCGGCCTACACAAAAGGCATCTGGATCCCTGGGCGCAGGGATCCCAAGTCAGACCCGAAGCTGCACACGGACGAGAACATCAACAAGTTCTTGGATGACTGGAAGCGCTGTGGATACGATGCCTACGCGATGGACAAGAAGTATAACTTCCGCATCGACTGGGCAACGGTACGGTCCGAATACATGCGCCACACCAGGACCGACGGCACGGGCAAGAGCAGTCACCAGCAGAGCAGCTGGCATGACCGGGCTGGAAGCTCCTGGGACGCCTGGGACAACTGGCAGAGTGGCTGGAGCTCTGGCTGAAACGACGACCAGTGGCAGTCAGGAGGCAAGCGTGGTGGCGGCAGGCCAGACGATCGTGGCGAGAAGAGACAACGGTGGGGCGACTGAGCCCCCCCCCATCCCCAAGAGATTCAGGTGCAGCGTCCGATTTCCACACTCTGTGCAGCCTTCAGCTGCCTCCCTGGGTTACGTTTCATATACTCGTGTGGCGGCCTTCAGCCGCCCTCCCTGGTACACGCACTTCCTGCCTTTGGACCCAAGTGTGTTTACCAGCAATACCGTCTGCATGACTGCGCTGGGGCCTGTTGCGTGCAGGCCATAGTTGGCCCCTGGCCCCGCTGTAGTTGTTTTCACCTCTGGCCCTGTCGGACTTTGTCCCCCGGCCTCGCGGCCCTGTGACCGACGCAAAGATGGCTTCGCCTCGTCACAGTCCAGAACCGCACTCTCACTCCCTGGGTTTCTTTAAGGTACAGCGGCCTTCAGCTGCTCTTCTCTGCTATTCCCTGGGAGCGACCTTGGGCGGGTGGCGTCCCGACAGCGGGTTTCGAACGCATGACCAGATGGTGCACTTCTGAGCCGTTGAGGTACGCCTCCGGCACGGTGGCGCGGCGTGCCCACCCGTAAGGACGTTGTTGCCGCGCCCGGACGCAGGGGCGCAGTTGCGCACCCACTTGCGCGCACCGGCCACAGTGTTGCCGCGGGTGGTCAGCGGACTGAGCATATACCTGTGCCTAGTGCGTACGCCTGCTTCCTTTGTTGGCCGCCAGTTCCTGTTGCCCGGACTGGCATGATCCCATCGTCGCCCCCCCCGCTCTACCTGGATGAGCGGCCCTTGGCTCCCTGGGCTTCTTCGCGACCACTGGCTGTTGCTTCGGCTGCAGCTGGTAAGCGGGAGCGCAGCTTTCCCAGAGCGCCATCTTCTTACACTTCACTCTGGTACGCCAGGGTACCAAGGATAGGCGTGGCTCTGTGTATGCTCGTCACGTTAGATGCTCCCTGGTACGCGTTCCTGCTCTTACCTTTAGTTGCTAGTCGCCTGCGACTTGTGCCTGGTAGAAGATTGGGACACTTGTACCTTCCGCATAGCGTCACATCATGTTACCTGATGGCTCGCTTGCGAACGCATCTTTGTTCGAGGTTGTCTTCCCGGGCCTGACGTGCCTTGTTCGGTTACAGACACCGCGAATTTCGCGCCATTTGGGCTGCGTTGGTGCGCACTCTGAAGCTGCGACGGTTCGCTGGCGCTGTCAGAGTCCAACCTCTCCCTACGGTATGCAGTCAGGCGACAGCTTGCGCGTCTCTCGGACGCTTCTGCTTGAGCATGGTTCAGACACCCTGGGACCCTATGGTACGCCATTCGCTGCGCCGAGGTTTGCAGACTCATTGCTGTTCAGATAGTGTACCCAAGCGGCGCACTGCTTGGCCATGGCCTCAGACACCTTGGGGTTATTTGCATCGCGCCATTTTGGCAGCGTAGTTACAGACTCCCTGGGTGCAGGTCCCTGGGCGTCAGACACCCTGGGTTGCAGCGCCCTTGCACCCGCCGCCTTGGCGCCGGCCGCGGCCCGCGCGCGCGTCCGGCCAATTAGTTTCGGCCGCAGCCCGACCGTTACTCGCCGCCGCTGGCGCTTCCACCCGCGGTTTTTTTATATATATATATATATATAACACAAAAAATCCAGAGCCGATTCCCAGGCGAGCTGCGCTGCCAGCCTCCTGGAGCCATCTTGGGAGGAGGCGGGGGGATGACGAGGGCGAGGGAATAACAGAAGGAGAAGGCAGAGGTTAGATGAGAAGATAGATGCACTCGCGGATCTTTAGCCGTTGGAGCTTCTTCGAGGTCCCCCTGGAGCCAGATCGGAGCCGCTCTGGAGCGGAAGCGCACGTGGGTAGTCACGCCCAGCTTCTGTTGGTGCGTTTCCCGTGGGAGACTGCGCGCGCCGTGGGGAGGGGATCAGGGCCCCACGGCGTTCAAACATCCGTGGCAACTCGCGATTCGATCGATTTGGGCAAGGGTTTTGTGTGCGGGTGCGTGCGTGTTCGCGTGTGTGCGTGTGTGCGTGTGTGCGTGTGTGCGTGTGTGCGTGCGTGCGTGTGTGCGCGTGCGCGTGCGCGTGCGCGTGCGTGTGCGCGTGCGCGTGCGTGTGCGTGTGCGTGTGCGTGTGCGGGTGCGGGTGCGGGTGGGTGTGCGTGTGTGTGTGTGTTTGTGTTTGTGCTTGTGGTTGTGCTTGTGTTTGTGGTGGTGCTTGTGTTTGTGTTTGTGTGTATGTGTGGTTGTGGTTGTGTGGTGTGCTTGTGTTTATTTGTGTGTGTTGGTGTTTGTGTGTGTGGTTGTGGTTGTGGTTGTGGTTGTGTTTGCGGTTGTGTTTGTAGTTGTGTTCGTGGTTGTGTTTATGTGTGAGTGTGTTTGCGTTTGTAGTTGTGTGTGTGTTTGTTTGTGAGTATGATTGTGGTTGTGGTTGTTGTTGTGTGTGTGATTGTGATTGTGGGTGTGCTTGTGTTTGTGTTTCTGGTTGTGTTTGTGTTTGTGTTTGTTTTTGTGGTTGTGTTTGTGCATGTGTGATTTTGGGTGTGTTTGCGTCTGTGTGTGCGTGCGTGCGTGCTTGCGTGCGTGCGTGTGTGTGTGTGTATGTATGCGAATGTGGATGTGCTTGTGCATGTGAATGTGAATGTGACTGTATGTGAATGTGAGTAGCGGCGGCGTAAGGCGACAGCCTCACGGATTCTCACGAAGAAGCGTGTTTTCCATCCAGGGCTTGCGCGACGAACGGGACCG